AATGGATGCTTTGGGAATGCTTGTTACGGACCAGGCAGTCTGAACATTACAACGGATTAAAGCACAGGTGAAAATTGTGATTTTGGCAGGATGGTCAGTTGCTTTTATAACACAAAATCAAAACAAAAACAGCAAAAAAAAAAAAAACCTGATGGAAATGGTATAATTACAGGTTTAATCTCAGTTCTTTTAAATACACCAGCACTACATTGGCTAAAATGTGTCTATTTTCAAACTAGGCAAATAAATGTTTACCAAAGACATGATGCTGTTATTTATATAGCTATACTGACATTTATATTTGATGCAGATGAACATGTATTTATTTAGTCTAATCAGAGTTTTATTTATAGTTAACATAGTGAAGTCTTACCAAATTAAATAAAACAATAACCTTGTTAAAAATAATCATGAGTTTGTAAGCAGGTACACATTTGCTCCTGTACACAGTGAACAGTATATCATTTAAACAATAACATATTTAAGCTTCAGCATAGGATTTTAAAGTTTTCTTGGCTGAGAATAAATAATTACTGTAACGTACGTGTGCAAAGATGAGCATTTTTAGAGAAACAAGCAAGTGAATTCAGTGTAGATATTGTGTTTTAATGTTTTTATTCGTATTCATCTGTGGTATTTTGTTGGGCTCTGGAAACCGTTTATTAGTCCAATAATTATTTTTTTCCACATGACATCATAACACATAATTAGCAACAGTCTGTGAATAATCATACCAGTTGCCAGAATAATGTCAATAATTTACAATGTTCCTTTTGCAACTAGGCATTTCTTTCTCTCTTTAGGCTAAAAACATCCTCATCAAACCCACCAAACTGTGTCTGTGTTGACATGTGTGTGTGGAGAGAGAGAGAGAGAGAGAGAGAGAGAAAGAGAGAGAGAGAGAGCTAGAGAGAGACACAGTAAGCCCTGGCAGCCAGTCAGTTTCCTGTGGGTCACCACAGCTTTGATTTATGGTCCTGCTCCACCTGCTTGGGACCCTTACTGTCACCCCAGGGCAAACGCTTTGCTTGAATCCAATTCCATTTTTATCTCATTATTTTGGAAAAGTACCTAAATTACAAGTCACTGGTGAAGAGGATACATTTATTTGGAGGGGATGATGTATCACATGTTTTCACCAGCTCTGGTTTTCAGCCGGCTACAATACATGGTAACCATTCAGTTTAACTCCTCTGGGGATGCAAACTGTGCATGAATGGAAGCGTAAGCTGTTCATATGCTGACCGTGGATGAAGAAGGCGGAAACTTTGATCTGCAGTTGTACCGACCCGGGCTCTGCAGTTCACCAATGCATCTCACTGGCGGGATCCTTCAAATGTCACTCCTGCATTCTTATTATCACACACACAAAAACACACAAACATACACTCACTCATTACTCATTGCAGTAAAGGTTAAACTACCAAATGAGTATGACCGATGACATTGTTCATCACTCATCTCTGGCAATATGTGTGTGTGTGTGTGTGTGTGTGTGTGTGTGTGTGTGTGTGTGTGTGTGTGTGTGTGTGTGTGTGTGTGAATGCACTTATTTCTAGCCAATCCGCCATATGTGACATGTTCTGGATTGTTGCTAAGAGACAAACATGCCGAAGGGCATGTAGGAGGAGACTGCATGTTGTCACCCGCATCAGAACACACACAAACACACACACACACACACACACACACACACACACACACACACACACACACACACACACACACACACACAAATCTGCAATATCAAACTTGGAGTGACTGATTTAAGACATTCAGTTTAATTATAAACCTTATCGTACTTTGGATTATTGTCGTGCTGGAATCACAGTTTTGATCAATATCATCTGTTGAGCAAAAATGCCAAATATTTGCCGCCTCCAGCTTTCAAAATATAAGGATTTTCTGCTTTAATCATGAAATTAAAAATGGAAATTAAAGGTCCAGTGTGTAAGATTTAGGGGCCTTATTCACAGAATATGGCAGAAATTTAATATAATATGCATAACAATGTTTTAATTAGTGTATAATCAGCTGAAAATAATAATTGTTGTGTATTAGTTACCTTAGAGTGAGCCGTTTATATCTTCCATGAAGTCTGCCATGTTGAACCACCTATATACAAAGTAACTACCATCAGATAAATGTAGTGGAGTAAAAAGTACAATATTTCCCTTTGAAGTAGAGTGGTAAAGTAGCATAGTCCTTAAATTTGTACTTAACTACTGTACTTGACTAAATATAATAGTCTAATATATTCTGCCACTGCATTTACTGTTGTCAGCTTTCATTTATACACCACAAACCCACATCTTCATTCTTCAACATCAGTTTGTTTATATTAAGTAATATGTTATTAATCTTGTGACCAAAAATATGTGTCATACCTTCACATATCAAACTGCTAACACTATTTTTCCTTTAATTATTCCTCTAAAATCATAATTTCACTGCCTAATTTACCTTGACTGTAACCTTGTTTATGCTCTTCATTGTCAACAGTTAATGAAAATGTCCTTTTTGACCCAGTTTAAGGGACATAACAAATTAACTTACAATTTTTTTTATCTAAACCAGCTCACTGTAGGAGCAAAAGAAGGTCAGTTTTTATAATAAATTTTTTTAAAGAACAGTGATGACACAAGTAACAGATATTGGGCTGAAATTGAAACATGAATTTGTCCCAAAGTACTTCTTGTGGTGGAAAAGCAATAATAATATGGTGCAGTTATGTTCCTCAAACAGGTTCAGATGCTCCAGATGTGACACAAGGTTTTCAGTTCTGATGAGAACAGATGGGCACAAAACAGACCACACACCCACAGACACACACATTTGCACAGCCATGAGCCCAGGGTCCCATTTTGCTCCGTGCAGCTATTTGTCAAGAGAGCACACAATAAAGGAGACGTTCCTAATTGGAAAACATTCTGCTGTGAGTAATTCATCTGAATCATCAACACAGACAGTCAAAAACAAAAACACACCATGCATCTCTCATACGGATTTTCAAATTTGTTTGCAGGAGAGTGTCTATGTGTGTGTTTTGAATTTCTAACGCTTTGCCTGTGCATGTTTATGTGGGTGTTTTCCTGCTTTCTCCATGTCTGTATTATGAGATTTAATATTTGTGTGAGTGTGTGAACATTACCAACTCGCCTCATTCCTCAGCGACTGAAAGAGGCTCTTTGTCTATTGTACTACAGGACAATGTGTATTGTAAGAGACAGAATCAGATTTCTGCCCAAGCATGTGTGTGTGTGTGTGTGTGTGTGTGTGTGTGTGTGTGTGTGTGTGTGTGTGTGTGTGTGTGTGTGTGTGTGTGCCAGGACAGAGCATGTTGTGACTGAGTGTTTTTTGTGACAGCGCAGGTGAGTATGAGAATGTCTCTGGCTGATATTTTTGTGTGTGTGTGTGTGTGTGTGTGTGTGTGTGTGTGTGTGTGTGTGCATGTTTAGCTGGCAGCACAATCTGTCTCCCTGCTGTTCTAATCCACTCATTTACCTGAGTTTCTCCCATGAGGGGCCTGGAGTACCGCCAACACACACACACACACACACACACACACACACACACACACACACACACACACACACACACACACACACACCTACATACATGCATATGAAAGTGTTAAAGCAACTGTGAAGTCCGACTGAAACACAGATGTTTGAAGCGTTGCTTCACTTGAGTGAAGCAACGTTTCAAACATCTGTGTTTGAGTGTGTGTGTTTGTGTGCGTGTGTGTAAGGTAACAGTATTCACATTTGTGCAAAGCTGTGGGTGGGTGGGGTGAAATTCATAAATCTTTCCGTTCTAAACAACAACAAAACAGCCATAACTAATGCAAGATTTTGTGCAATCATGAGACTAAAAACAGAACCAGAAATGACTTCCACAAATCTTGACTCAGACTGTAAAATTTATGGACTTGTTTATTTATGGAGATATTTTTAAACTAGATTTCTCAAAATGATTGCAAAGGCCTGAACTTGTTTTGGTTGGTTTAATTGATCTTTTCAGACACTTAAAGTCACTCAAATGTGGCCTCATTGCTTGTAAAACTAGATTAATGAAGTACTGTATTTCCCATGTTCAAGATTATTGTCATTCCTATAATACATACTTTATTTTGGATGATAGATCTGTAAAGCTGTAAATCTCCATTGTAAAACTTTAAAGTGTGTCACACAAGAGGAAAAATACAACCAACAATAATAAAAGGAAAGGGAAAAGGTAGATAAATTATACTGGACCAGACTGAAAATAAAATATACTAAAAGGAAACTGTTTAAACTGTTTAAAGAAATAAAGAGAAGTCAAGCAAAATTACACAATTTAGTATAACCAATAAACTACCAGATTAAAGGTCCAGTGTTTAACATTTAGAATGATCTATTGGCAGAAATTATATATTAATATTAATAAAATTCATAGGTATGTTGTCATTAGTGTATAATCACCTCAATATAGAAATTGTTTTTGTAACACATTTTCATCTACAGATGTTGACATGTTTTCTACAGCAGCCCAGAACAGACAAACCATAACTGGCTCTAGATAGGGCCGTTCCCATAATGTGTGTTTCACAGCCACCGTAGTTTCTCCTTCGTGCTTTAAAGGTTGAAGTGAGTGAGATGCAATTTGTAACTCTGCAAACTGCTAGATGCCACTAAATCCTACACTGAACCCTCAAAACTAGTTTGCACATGAGCAGAAAAGTCGTAACTGATAGCTAAAAACAATGGATAAATGGTTGAAAAGTCCAGCTGTGGTAGAGGTATGAACACAAAGTTGATCAAACCTACATTATCGCATTAAAAAAGTTTTTTTAAAGAGTCCAAGTCTAAGTAGGTTATTCCAGGATCACAATGTCTATTATTAGTGTTAAAAAACATTCAGTTTAAAATCCATTCAAATTAACATATTTGAAACAGGGCGGGTGGTGTTGATAAAGTAGTACAGAAGTATCATCATATTTTTGCTTCTGCCTTTCTCAGGGGATGACACAGGTGATACATCCAGCGGTCGTAGTCCAGCAACGAAGGACATGACTCCTCCTCGTCCTCGTCGCCCCGTCCCCCCTCATCACCTCTCACCTCCACAGGTATACCTGTACCTATAGGTCACGGCTCCCCCTCCCTTCACATCCGTAGATTGTACTGCCTGGTCTGTTCTTATATAACTTTGAATCTTATTGCATATTCTCCGTCAGGTGGCTGTTCGAGGCTCAGCGCCCAACATGTTGTCCATTGAACCTTTGACCCTGGTGACCCTGCTGCTCCTACTGCTGTCACCATGGGAACACCGCTGATCGTGGAGAGATGATCCTTTAGACTGACAGAGACAAAAAGACTGAGAGACAACCACATATGTTTTGTGGTGAAGTTGAGTATGTGGAGTTTTCTGTAAGCACAAGTCAACCACTCTGATTGTTTTTGTTTTCGGGTGGAACCGGCTGGTGGGACAAAGTGTGGATTCATCACAGTTGCAGGTGCACAGTATGCATTATTCACCTGTACTGACCTCTTCATGTGTTTGTTTATTTGTATTTAACTCTGATAGGATAGATTGCACAGCACTACTGACTTTTTTGAAGAGAGATGTAAATACAAATATATATATATTATATATTTATATGAAGAATTTCTATAGATAACAATGGCTTGATGTGTAAATAGAGACTAATATAGGACAGAGCAGACTGACTTGGATGTTAAAGGGTTGTTTGGTTTAGTTTGACCTTTACATTATGTATCCCCCACAGAGATTAAAATCCATGACAGCTAAAGTTCAACCTGGAGGCCTTCACTGTAGCAACAGTGTGCAGAAGGCAAACTTGTGAGGACTTATTAATGTTGAAGGGAACGAAGCGCAGAGAGCTAAACATAGGCTGGAAAAGGACATTAAGACTGTTTCTCAAAGGGCACAACAACCAGTTATGTGATACTTCAGAGCATTTACAGATGGCCATGCAGCATAATGAAGAATTTGACAGTTTGGCCTGTCAGCCTGTGCAGACTGAAGCCAATACGCCACTTTTTTCCCCCCACACAAGTATGCTCTTTGTTCATGCAAGCTGGGGAATTTTCTTTTTTTTAATTTATGCGGGGAGTATGCTGAGAGTTTTAATTGTGTGAGACTTATTCAAAATTCAAATTCCTTTAACAGCCGAGATCTCTCCCGAAAAATGGTGTCCTTTGTCATTTTTAGGCACACAATACCTTTTATAGTGTTGGTAGTTTCAGAAAATGTGACTATAAGATAATAAGACTTCTCAAGGGAGAGCTGTAACAGTTTCCATTTCAACATCAATTTCACTTGTAAGCTGTCACAACCATACTCAAAATAAAGCCCTGTTAAAAAAAGCCCTAAATATTAGCAAGCACCTAATACAAGGAAAGACTAAATATGAACAATGGGTAATATGAAATCTCATTATCGTGTGCAAACACTGAACTGTCACAGTGATTTCATAGGCTGGCTGGTCTCCAATTGTATTAATTAAAAACTGCAAGATAATACATAAGACATCCAATAAAATATTATATAGTTATAGCTTTTTCTAAGTCTGATACACGTGTTATCAGCTCGTCTCCGTATCCAGTAAAGAGGAGAGACGAAGCAACAAGAGGCTGATCAGAGTACAGCTGAGCCCAGATCCAAACATGTGAATTAAATGTAATTCATATTAATTAGGACTATCAAGTTCTCCTGGCTCTCTGTTGAGTCTCAAACCCCCCAAACTGCACACAACAGCAGAACAGACAACTGGAATACTGATTCAAATGGAACAAATGAACCAGCTGAAGGACACTGGGTACATTTCTCTCAGTGAGTGACCAGCTTTCTTCTCAGATCACCATTTCTGTTCCACATAGTCTTTTGACAATAGCAAAATTCCCATATAATGAATGTTCTTTCATCACCTGAGACCATTTATTTATGAAGGAACCTGAGTGACAGATGAGACAACATGAGAAATACCATTAAGAGCTGAAGCGTGCGAGTTATCTGGGCAGGGAGCCCAAATACCGTGTTAGCTAGCGGGATGCTTTTACAACATAATCTGTCAAACAAATGTCCTATTATTTGATTACTATTTAAACGTTATACCCAAATGAGATGAGATTTTGGATTCGAGCCAACCCCTCCATCTTTCATCGCCCTTGCTAGGTGACCTATATAAACACACCACCAACACACACACAAACACGTACAGAGACCCTAAACAGGATAAGTGAATAAATATAAAGGATGGATATGCGTCATTTTATTGTTTTCTCAACCTGGTGTAAGATCAGGGTGGGATATTGACAGCTATTTTAAACACATAAAAAAATATGTTTTCATATATTTGTCGTGAATGAAGTGTGAATCTCGTTGGTGCATATTTGTATACGAGAGGGAGCAATGTTATGTCAAGAATAGAAATTACTGTTTGATGTTCCTCTAGTGCTCTGTTGTCATAAAGGTTCTCAGCATGTGTGTTGAGGCACACTGGTGTGCCATGGAGCTGTGCTGTGTCGTTGTTATATAAAATCTTTGGTAATACTTCATAAAAAGGGTACAAGTAATATACTTAAGTAGTACTGAACTAATGCATGACTCATGATGGTTTAAAGCCTGAATTAATGCTGGATGTACATGAATTCCTGTTTTTCACCACTAAAAGATGATTAAGTTACTTCATCATCCAGTAATCTTGCATTAATTAATGAATTAAATCATCATGAGTTATGCATTATTTAAGTAATATTTAAGTATATGACTTGTACCCTTATTATAAATTGTTACCAAATCAATAAATGTACTTTAATTGAAGTTTAACAGCTCTTTTTGTTTAGAGATTCTAATTTGTTGTAATGTAGTAGTATGCAGGAACACAGGGGACTGTGGTTTCTCTCACCATACTCTGAGAACTGCTGCGTGCCAATTTAACAAACTAAACCGGTGACTCTCATGTGAGATGTAAATAAACCTACTGCACCATGTCCTGCTGCTCTGTTGTGTCATAATCTTCATCTTAATATCCTCAGTAATAAATTGTTTTCAGATATGAATTGTACTTCGTCTTTGTGTAGCAGTCTCCATGTAGAATGCATGTGGGAGCCACAAATATAACTGAAACCAGATGAAAGTAGCAAACAGGATTTAGAAATAAATAATTAATAATGTTTATTTACACATGGCTACCTACGTACAGAGTTTTCAATATGATTAAAATTTAAATCCTGAGTCATATTGTAACTGGGCACATTTATCCTGCAGATGAAAAATGTGGTTGTTGAATTTCATCCATCTCTCATAACATAAAATATAAACTTCATTTGGAAACATATTTGGGTTGTTTTTGTTTACCGTATCTGGGCTGCTAAAAAAGGTTTAAACAGAATGGAGTTTGGATCCTTAAGTGTACATATACATATATATATATATGGGAACACAGCTGCAGCTCTTTGGCCTCTGGCCCTTTGAGAGATTACTGTGATTGGATTGGCATGGTCAGGAAGTTGGCACAGATTACTTGGTTGGCACAGGAAGCTGCCAGGGGATGATGGGAAATAAAGACATCATTGAATGCAAATTGCCACAAAGAGGAAGACAGAGAGAGAGCGAGTGAGTATGAAGGGGAAAGACTGTGAGAAAGGGTGTTTCCATTCCTCATCCTGATGTTGGCACAATATAGTCCCACCCATATATTTTGTTTCTGTGTCCGAACGTTGTTTCAAGATGTCTTTAAATGCAACAGTTTTACTTTTTTATTCACTATTTTCGTTCATGGGAATCGTCTGTGTTCAATTACCTAGAAGTGAACTTTTCAAAAGTAAAAAAAGGACAAAGAGCCAGTACATCCTGCACATCCCTGAGCAGAACAAAGAGACAGAACAGAGGCAGCAGGCTGGATGAGAGGTGAAGAAGGTGAAAAGGAAACTAGGATGAGTCAGAGTTCATGACAGAAAGAGGGAGCGAGACAGGGGATTTGCAGGATGTTGTTTCAACAAGCTGGTGAGGTTGCTCCGCTGAATAACATCCTTCCTCTGTGCCAGCACTAATGAAATCAGAGATGTGATTATTTTAACCCTGTCCAAGGGTTATGAAGATCGAGGTCTGCGCATTTTAAATCATATTTATTCTCCTATCCTCGCCAATGTTTGCAGCCTTCAAGACACACATTGTATTAGATTACTGACTGTGTACATGTTGCAGCTCCACATGATTTTATAGCTGTTTTAGCTATAAAAATGTGACTAGAGGCTTTCTAAGTATTGAGAGCCATGTGGTTGTAAGGATCACCCAGGAAGAACACCTGCCCACCTTATAGACACAAAACAATGCAACTGGATTCATGATTGGATGTATAAGGCGCTATGGCCCAGGTCAAAATAGGTAATGCATGAATGCACTGGGCACTTCATAAATCTGGGTCCGTCTATCTGGAAAGGGACCTTTGAATTGTTCTGATTTGACCCAATCAAGTTCTATTGTTCCGTGCAGATACTGCTCTATAGTGAATAACTGCAACCTAAGAGTGAAGAACAACCTCTTTTCCCTCTCAGCAGTAAAATCTCCATCCAGAATCAGCCAGACTGACCAACATTGGATAGGATGCCTCTCTTAAGCCTCAGGTGTTCAGATCTTTCAGTTACTCACATTAGAGCAGTGGAAGTGAAAAGCCCATTGTTTTACTCATGCTTCTGGGTGTAAGATCCTTGAATATCAATGACTGCTGATGGAATATATATGGCAGTGATGTGGTGGCACTAGTCTAAATTTGGATTGGGTGTTTAGGACTCATTTAACCCTGAAAGCTGATCAACTTCACAGTGGTTGGCAGCCTCCTTATCCGCAGTCTCTAATAGCAACATAGAGCAGCTCTGCTGAAGCAATCAGGGATTAAGTGTCTTGCTGAAGGGCACTTCAACATCACTTTCTGTGTGAACAGAGAGCACTGAATCATCTAACTCACCATAATAAACCCTTATTATCCCAACCATTCCTTCAATGCTCTCAACTACTAATTGTTTCTGGTAAACCTGCCGTTTATTTTTCGCCACTTTAAGATAAAATATGTAACATTTCCACAAGAAAACACTAGACCTGTGTTATATATATTGTTGAGTTGTGTACTTGAACAAACCCAGAGAAATCTGTCATTTTATTCAGGTAACATTTCATGAATTGACATTTTATCCAGTTTTAAGGCACATTTCTGTGATACATCTTGGTCATCTTGAACTGTATAGTTTATCTATTGACAATATATACAATGGACAGAGCTTTTAAGGTCTGTGAAGTGAAGCCGACGAGGAAATGTCTTAAACCTGCATTTTATGTAGTTTACTGGCATTCAAAGGCCAGCAGGGGGCGCTCCATTGGCTGCAATAAAAAACAATAACATGCACTCTTATGGAGAAATAAGCCAACTTGTCACTTGATTTATGAGCTCAGTAAACTGTTTCCTAATGAGTTTATGGTCTCAGTCGCTAGTTTCATGTCTTCTTCCATAAAGTATGATGTTCATTTTCTAAATAATGGTCCAATTTAGAGTGAAACAGACCATAAAGCAGGGTAGGCTTTTGGGCGTGGCTACCTTGTCATTTTCAGTGAGTCCGTCCAGCACAAAACTCAGATCAAACTGTCAAACTAGGCCTTGCTGATTAAATAAGAATCAAGATTCTGTTAGTTTTTTGCCTATTTCTCACCTAAAAACGTTTCAGAAACATATTTCAGTGTGCCGTTTAACTGTAATATGAGCTCATGTGTGACCAGGCGAGCCACCATTGTTGTCTGCTACAGACAACTCACATTAGCAGCAGAGCTATCACATCATGATTGTTTTTGTGGCTTTCACAGTCTAGTAAGCTTTTATCAGGAAAGTAATGTACTGTGGAACGGTGCCATGCCTTTGTTTAGGCAGTCCATTATTTCAAAACCACAACAGTCCAAAAAAAAAGCCAATTTTTCTGTCAACCTGTTATTCTGAAGTAGATAGTTGGGATATGAGAATGGTAATTTTTTTTAAACTATTGTGGTTTCTGTATAATGGGCTGTTGGATCAATTCAAGCATGGCTTTCAGTGACCAGTGGAGCTCCATTGTTAAAAACTATTGATTTATACAGTGACAATGTTCATTCAGTGAACTCAGTTCAGTTTGGAGATTCTGTGTTTGTCCTTCTTGCTTGTTAATGTGGTTGAGAAATTTCAGTCTAGACCAAAGCATTGGGCCGACTGATGGACAGACAGAGCGATACATCAACGCTGCTAGCCTACCTAAGAAGTCTCAATCTTCTCCTTTTGTCTGTTCTCTCACATTTACACTGACTGACTTTGGCCTTTAGCGTTAACTTCACGCTGTTTTCAGGTTGAAGCAGGTCCACACTGACCTGGATGGCAGCCAGTTATTCACTCCCATGCCATTATGTCAATGTGTATTAGCTACGACTCAGAGATCTTATCTTGAATGACAGATAGTTTGGATGGAGGGTGGCAGGTAAGCTATTATTTCATCATCGTTCTTTCTGTGATTTATTGTTTAGATGTGTTTAAAGTATGTACTGAGTGTTAGTGTGTAGGTATGCTTTGTGATAGACACACAGTGAGTGTGTATTGTGTCTACAACAGCTTTCCACTGGAGTTTATCATTTCTTGGTTCAGTCCTGCTCCTGCAGACGCAACCAAGAATGACTGACATGAGTTTAAATCTGCAGAGAAGGAAATATCTGTCTTTCTGATTTACAGACTTGAAGGGAGACAGAAAAATACTACACTAAAACACTACAGGTCGTAGCAGGCTAAGCTGTTTTCATTATTTTTCTCCCTGACATCGTCATGCTCTGATGCATCACAAGCATTCGTTTGGAAATACTGAACACAATGATGTATCTGGGATGTACAGAGAGCGTATGCATGTGGAGAGCAAGTTGTAAAGGATGACGAACAGGGAATACACTGAAAAATGGTATTAACATATTAAAACTTTCTAGAGTGTGTGGGCTTTGTTGAGGGCAGGTGAAACATGGCAGGAACTTAAGACGATGAGAAAATAGAGGAAAAGAAGATCGAACTGGTTCAATCGTGTGTGTGTATCTGATCTGGCTTGATTAGCCTTATATTGTGTCTTAACCAAAGATCACAAAAACATGATAGAGACTTTAAAGGGAATGTTCTTGCTATGTCTGAGTATACCAAGATGGATTTATGTTGTTAGATAAGATAAGATAAGATAGACTTTATTGATCCCACACTGGGGATTTCACTTGCTACAGCAGCTCCAGGTACTACACAACAGATTAGAGTACACATTAAATAAAAAATAGGAAAAAAAACCCACAAGATATAATAAAAATGTTATGTATTTTATACAGATGTGATTGACATGGAATATGTTAGCTACAACTTAATAGTATGTCATTTGTACAAACAAGACTGGTTACCTAACTGACAACATTTAGACATCACCGACTCAGTCGCCTGGGCCGACACTGAAATCCTGCACAAATGTGGTGCCAAAAAGAAAGTTGAGACGACACTTGTGCTCATCCTTAGACAGTATCCACATTGTAACATGAATTAACGACCCAAATATTTGTCTGATATCAGTTCAAACCAGTTTCCAGTCATGTTTCAATATGACATTTAATATATCACAGCTTCAGTTTAGTGATGTTGACATGGAACTCGAGTTACCTTTTCCTTGAATGCATGGTGGAAGGCAGGTTCTCATCCGAATCCTGGCTGCATCAAGGAATTTCCAAAACAGAAGATGCCATTCTTCGCTCTCTCTGTTAACTGGTAATAAACAATGTCTTTCTCCCAGAGGGCTGAAGTGGCTGGTATGTGCCAATCTCTTTTTAACAAATTAATCCTAACAGCACTTTGCCTGCCAAGGCGATAAATCATTGGCTGGATTAACACTTGCCCTGACTTTACACTTAAGGTGTGTATGAAGCTGAGTGCTGTGTGTGTGTGTGTGTGTGTGTGTGTGTGTGTGTGTGTGTGTGTGTGTGTGTGTGTGTGTGTGTGTGTGTGTGTGTGTCTGGGTGGGGGGGTTATTTGAAAGTGTAGCTCTAATTTATCTTTTGAATGAGGTGGCGCATGAAGGTGTGTCCTTCGGGTTGACCTGAAGGTGTGGCTGACCCTCTTATTCTAAAATTAGACGGTCCAGACCAAAACAAATGGTGTGTTTGACCTGCAAGTTGTCCTCAAGCAGCCAACAAACACTGTACACAATTTTATTATAAAAGTTGTGCCAAACTTGTTGGACAACTGGGTAAAAAAAACATGCTAGGTTGGTCATAAACACAGATTATTTTCCAGTGAGTTCTCTGTAAAGAGCTGTGCTTCAACATGTTCAGGCTGCTGACGAGAACAAACAGAAGTTTATTAGCTGAAATGCTCGTATACCAGTGATTCATTTACCAAATACCAGTAAATACAGCGTTGTCATCTTAGTTCACCACAGGCCTTTATCAGGCATTTTCACACGCCACAGAAAGAAAACAACAATAAAAATTAACGATGACTGAATTCGGTGAAGCTGCTTCAGTTTTCACTTTCTTGGTATTTTTTCAAACTGATAAAAAAAAAATGTCCACTGTGGAATAAGTCTTATTAAGTGTTTAAAAAAGAAGGATACAGTAGTTGTGTCCTCCAAATTTCAGCAAAAGAAGGCACCATTTTTCAGCTGGAGGGAGGCTTTGTCAATCTATTATTTGGTCTTAAAATGACTTTGGAACATCCACTTTGTCTGTATTCCTTTTCACAATATGTGCTGACCCCTCCCACTCTGGCTGTTGCACCTTGTGTGCTTTGTCCCCTTCTTCTGTGCAGGAGACAGACAGAGTGGCCGGGGTTGTGGCTGGGGGGATGAGCCACACCTGAATTAAGTCCTACAGATTGCGGCCCCTGATTGCTACGCTATACAGGGAGCTCTCTCTTTCCTCCCAGCCAGCAGGTTTTTGGGTTTGGTTGTGTTCTGGGTTCATATGACTTTTATTTCCTACATCACTCTAGCTTACATCCATACACTCACTGATTTAAATATTTTTGTACTTATATAGTTTAATATTGATTAAAAGTTCATTAATTATCCGTGTGGTCTCCCTTGTTCTGTCTGGAGCCGGTTCATGACAGCAAAGGCTACACCCCAACAGTGAGGGTTTTGCAGTTCTTCGATTGTTTATTGGGTTCAGTGTACACTGCATGTCCAAAATTACATGGCTTCATTTCCAAGTCAACAGCAGTGAGATAACAGGAAATTAGGGAAGAAGGAGATGGGAGATTACACGCAACAAAAGGCTCCAGCAGGAGTCAAACCGGGGACATTGCTGTTTATGGTGAGTGCCCTAACTCCTAGGCTACTCCTTAGACACCTTACAGTACACCCATATGTTGTTGTTGATTATCTTATCCTTAAACCCTGGTTGTTAATATCCTGCTGTAACGTCTTCCACTCTTAATCTCAACAAGATTCTGTTGCCTTTTTTGAAGGGATTTGCAAAAAGAGCCGTTATGCTGATGTTTGCCGATAAGGCCTGGCATTGCATGCTTCCTGAAGGTGTTGGATGTGGTTGAGGTCAAGTTCTTCCACACAAAATAAACATATTTCTTCATGGATCTGACTTTATGCATCAGAGCACTGTCATATTTATACGCAAAAGGAACTTCCCCAAAACTGTTTGCCACAAAGTTGGTTACACCATGTTGTCATAAAACAGTATGATGTTGCATTAAATTGAACTATAAAGGCCTTTTCCAAACCATGAAAAACAGTCCCTGACAAGGGCGTCTGCATACATTTGACCATAAAATGTTTCAGTTTTGGAGTCCTGGGTGATGGGACTTTCCATGAACTGGTCATGTATGTTTCGTGAAGGAACAGTGGTGTTTTAATTTATCAAGTCAAAACCCAAAATCACAAATCACAATTTGCCTCAGGGGGCTTTACAATCTATACAACATTCAGCACCCTCTGTCCTTAGACCCCTTGATTTGGGTAAGTATGAACTCCCCAAAAACCCCTTTTTAACAGGGAAAACATGGAAGAAATCTCAGGAAAGCCACAGAGGAAGAATCTCTCTTCCAGGACGGACAGACATGCAATAGATGTTGAGCGTATAGCATTATGGTTCCTCAAAATCAAACAATATTCAGAGTTTCTGACAAGAATATTGTTAGAAAGAACAGAGCCTGAGGTACAGTTTTTAATCTTATTATTATCTGCTAATGTACAGCATGCATTATTATTAATTAGCATGTCTTAACCCTGAGTCTGACCTGTGCAGCATTAACAGTACTTACACTGTTACCTTCACTCCTTTCTGCCACATCCAATTTAAAAGTAATTACAGCATATTTAAACCATTGGTGATTCTAATTTCACCTACAATTGGATTTAATTTAAGCTGCATTTCTGAGTCAGATTTCAGGGCTGCCTGTGACCTTTCCTGGCCAGCCTTTGGACCCGGCACTGCTGCTGGGGAGGATGTAGGACGTGAAGATTGGACAGCGTTTGACAGCTCATCGGTCACGTCCACCAACCCTGCCAAATGGAGCCGGGGGAAGGCTCTGAATCCCTACCAGCCGCAGACCTGCCTGCAGCAATACATGGCGTGTCTATAGCTTTGTGTGTGTGTTTGTGTGAGTCAGGTTTTGTTTTCAAGAAGGCTCTTTTCTTTCATTTGCACGACCCATTTCATGTATTTAGTTGCAGAGGAAGATGTATCCTTGAACCTCAGATCCTGACCTCCATATCTTTATTTGACTGTAGCTTTGAAACTGACAATCTGAGGCTTGAAGAATCACTAGCATCTTTTAAATTTTCTCGAAACTTATCTTTTGAAAAAGACTTTTATTGATGGTACCCATGAAGTAAAGCAAGTAAAGTAGAGCAATATATATATTATATATTTAGTTTATTCATTCTTTTCATCATATTTTATTCTCTTTCATTCCTTTCATTTGCCTGATTTTATTCAGTTGCAGTGCTGAAATTATCCCACCTTTCTTTTGAAGATGCTCTATTTTAAAAAAAGGATATTATATATATTACAATTGAAAGAAAATGTGTGTCTAACGGAACAAAAGAGACATTATTTTTGAACTTCTCCTGATTTTCAACAGCGTGCTGTATTTTTTAAATCTATCTAATTTAAGCAAATAATCAGCAGGTTTTTGTGATTATTTTGTATTCATATTTCTTACATTTGGACACATTTGAGTTCTGACTGCAGACTAGTTGTTGGCAAACTTGTTCATGCAAAGAATACCAAAGATATTTAGGATTGAAAACATGGACTTGATTTCATTATCTGTGATTTATTATCATTTAAAGCCTTCATGTTGAGGATAATGAAACCAGTACAGTCTCTCATTGGGAACACTGTCACTCTCAATTAATGAGAATAAATACCGTACCGTTATGTAGGGGAACCCCTGGATTATCGTTCTTCTACGCTTTTTCCTACTGTCGGGGACCTGCGGGTGGCGCTGACACACACTCATATTCACACACACACACACACAAAGAGAGAGGGAAAGAGCGAGCATCAACACACTTCAGCACACTCCCTCAAACACACATTTCATTGTCCCAAAAAGCCTGGAAAAAATGGGGATTTACGGGACAGTTCTCCTGCAGTCTGAAACCTCATTTAAAATAACAGTTTCTTGCTCCTTTGTTGCCTTAAACCGGCTGATTTCCATAATCATGAACCGATAGTGTGAGCGTGATCTGCACCGGCTTTAACTGAGCGACACCTGCTCTCTCTCTCTCTCTCTCTCTCTCTCCCCCTCCTTTCCTCTCTCTTTTGTCTCTGACATCTCTGCAGCTCGTGGCCAGCAGCGCTGAAGAAGAGGAGGAGGAGGAGGAGCGGGGTGTACCTGACACCTACAGCCGCGCGTCGCAGCTCTCTTCTCCCTCAGAAACACCCAGCACTGCCCGCCGCGGGTGCCTTCTTTTGTCGCCTGGTCGTCCGTGTAGTTAACCGGAGCTCTCTGTGCAGTTTGACCGGGTGAACACTGCTTCAGCTGACAGACTCTCTTCCGAGAAAACTCTTCCAAATATTTTTTTTTTTGTTTAAAAAGCAACAAAACACAGAAGACAGTTATCTTCTGGGAGAGTTTGATTCACTCGGACCAGAAATACGCAGGATTGTCTGACCTATTGAGGGGACTACACTTGAGAAGATGCGGCTCCCGGTGCTTCTCTGTGTGTTGGTGTGTCTGTCTGCAGCACCGGGCCCGGTGACCGGGGCGGACAGGAGCTGCACCGACCTGCGGCAGTTCTACACCGGGAAAGGGTTCACTCTATCAGGGGTACCCCAGACTGAAATCTCTGGTGAGTTTTGGCAAAAAAAAAATTACAGAAAAGATCACAATTGCATGCACTTCACAGCACTCATTAGCCTTAAGTCATTTTTTTTATTATTATGATTTACATGAAACATGAAATAACTGTAGCCTATATAATAACAAATATCTTATGTTATATGTTATAAAGGCTATAGTGGTACGTCTCAATAATGACTTTTCTTCTCATCGCCTTATTCTGTGGGAAACAGTGTATAATGATTTACAGTGTGTGTGTTATCTATTTAATTATTAATTTAAAATATCCAAAGATTCTTCTTCAGAAGGATGCTTGGTTTGTGCACTGTGATTGGTTTAAATTTTAAGAAACCTGCACTTAAAGCTTGTTTAGTCAAGTTTTAAGTTGCATTGACTTGTTTTGTTGTTCCAAAAGGCAGGCGTGTTTGTATTAGGCTAAATCTCAGTTTATGTGTCTCATTGTGCAATATTCCACCTTCTCTATATGCTCGTGTTTTCCACTTACCTCACCGAGCAATGCACCCATCCTAACTCAAGTGTTTCCCAGTCTATAGACCCTCTGTATTATAGTCCTTTCTGGGGCATTTTCATTGTCTGCTGAGGGCAGGATTGCAGGTGGGTGTCAGCCATGTGTCTTGTGGAGCTATTATGGTCTATTCAGGGCATTTATGATTGTTTGTTGAGGTTTGTGCTGCAGGTGTGAACAGCTTTTAATATAAACTACAGAGGGGACATATAGATTTGCTTTCTGCTCGTGGTTGCTGTAACTCCATGTTGAACAGCAGCAATGTGTTCTGGGGCATTTTTTCATTGTCTGCTCTGCCCTGGACTGCAGGTGTGTGTGTGTGTGTGTGTGTGTGTGTGTGTGTGTGTGTGTGTGTGTGAGAGAGAGATGCTGAAATGGCCTGTTTTGTAATTTGCATAAACTAATAATTTAGGCTAGCCTGGGGCAATATCCAGTAACAAGTAGAGCTCAGCAAGCTCACAGCATAAGCCCGCTGTAACAAAGTTGAAACAGGGAAAAGAGTAAGATGTGGTTATTCTGTTCTTTTGTTTCATTCTGGTACCCTCTCCTGTCAGTCAGTCAGCCATCCGACCATTCAAGCAATCATGCATTTAATCAATCAGTCAATTAAACAGCCAGTCCACTAATCAATCAGCTCAACACTCAGTCAGTCAAGCAGTCAGTCAACCAGGCATCACGCATCAAAGTCTCTGTATCTCGTCTCTCTGGTCGCCACTCTTCACCAATACTGATTAATCTGTCTTGGCCTTGAGGAAAGTGCAGACTGAGGAACATGTGAAAGTGGTGATTGTGAAATTGAGTTGTTTTCCCCTTTAAGGCAATCATCTGTCGCTCTCTGTCTCTACCCAAAGATGCACAGAAGGCCTGGCAAAGGAGGGAAATGAAAGAGAGGCGAGATTGAGGTGTTCAGTGTGTGTACGATCTGAAGGTCATTTCATGGTGTGTCAATGAAAACAGTCCTGGGTGAGTTATTAATATTGGATGGCTGTGTGTGTCTATGTGTGTGTGTGTGTGTGTGTGTGTGTGTGTGTGTGTGTGTGTGTGTGTGTGTGTGTGTGTGTGACAGGGAGACCAACAAACAGACAACAAGAGTGAGGCAAAGAAAGGTTGAGACAGAAACAGACAGCAAAGAAAAAGGAGAGACAGACAGTGAGGCAGGTTGACAGAGACAGAATAAGTGAGTCACTCAAGGTTTCTGTCGGTGTTACATGGACGACCGAGGAAGAGACCCGACACGTCGCTCTCCCTTCCCTTTCCATTAAAAACTCATCTTTTATTGACAGATGAAAAACACAATGCTTCAGTCACTTGGACCTTGATCTGCTCTAGTTATTTGAGCAAGAGTTCTTCCTGCCCAGAACCCATTAAAACTGACAGCCAGATAGGAACAGAAAGATGGCGACCGGCAGCAGAATTCCCCAGAACAGGGGGCTCTTCAATCTTTTTCATCTCAGAGACCCAAGGTTGGTAAATTTAGCTTTTTCCACTCAGGGAGAGACAGACTCCTCTGCACTCCTGTTTCAGTGTCACTCTGGAGGATGTTAGTGTCAACCAGGGTGAGATCCCTCATATAAACAACATTTTGGTGTATGAGGTAGTAATGTTTGCACCTGGGAAGACCTCACTTGGATGTCTTTTCTGCAACTTTACGGCCATTAGGAGGAACATTAATTCTTTGGATGATACAGCCATACTGCAGCTGCAATTTGCAAGACATTTAGCAGTACGAATAAGAGCTCGACAGTAACTTATTTCCATCCTCAACTCTAAGTTTGCTTTTGGTATTTCTTTTCTTTTCACTGTAGCCAAAAGTTCAAACTATTTTATAATACTAATTATAAAAACATCAGGTCTGATGCTCCTGTTGCCTGTCAGAACTTATAAAAGGGCTTAACACTGAAGGACAGAGTAATGCTGCATGGATTTAAGACAAATTTAAAGAGAAGAGAACTGGAATCTGTCTTTTCTTATGAAAATAACACTCTTTATTCTCTATCGATCAGACTTACTTCATTTTAATGTGCACCAATGTGTAATTTTGTAGATTGTAGCCTTCTGCCCTGCCTGTAACTACATATTGACGCTGATACATTTGAAATAAGAGGGGGATCTTACCTTGATATATATATGGACACATTTTACTGCAGGGAAACTACTTTAAAACCAACGAAACATCCACATCAGGAGAAAAAAAATAGTTCCAAGCACAACATTTAGGATTGCTACATTTCTAAATGTATCTCTTATCACTCAGTGCAGTAAACACATGTGTAGATGTTTCAGCCCTGTGGCTTTCCTGTTCATGCAGGCTCACATTTGGAGGAACCAACTGTCTCCTAATGAGTTGGGACGAGACGCAGCTGTTGTCAGTCACGATCAATTCATGTTTAGCATTATCTGCACAGCGCTATAGTGGTATAGAAGCTTACTTCAGTTAACTGACATCACTGTGTGACACATTCCTCAGTGTACAGGATGTACAGGACCCCTGGTGAGGGATGGGTTCAGTGCCAAAACAATTCTTCTTTCAGTACCGTAGTAGAAAGATAAACATGTTTTTATACACAACCATTTCATAAATCAAAAAACAATGTGACAAATGTGTGCAGTGTTTAAAGACCAAGCACTCAGACTCAACTTTGGATACTGAACATTTTTTAGGTTAGATTTTATATTGCAGACACAGTTTGTTCTGTTGTCAGATGATATTGAGGTGTGATATGTAACCCTGCACTCTCTTGGCAAACGCAACATCTATCTCATTCAAACAACCCGGTGATGCAGTGTCAACACAAAAGTGCACTGAAAAATAGTACAAATTATAAAATTTGGGATGGGAACGTTGTTACTGTGAGTGCTGGCATTTCTGTCTCTCTAATAAAAATAAATTTAGATTTTTGCTAATGAATTCTGGCAACTGTTGCGGCTACCAACTAGTCAAACATCACTTACATGCAATAAAATAAAGTATTTTAAACCGAGCACTCAAAAATCTCCATCTGTCTCTCCCGTTTCTTCCCAAACCAACAAGCTCAGCGCTTTCACTTCATTTTTAATTGAGTTTAGACATGTGCACACAGATTAAAAAAAGGAAGTGGTTTATCTGAATATACAGTATGCCAATCTGCAAGGGAAGTGGGCTGTATAATGCCAGGTGTATATCAGCTCTGGATATAAAAGGTATAAACAGGATGTGAGAGCTTTATTTGTAAGCGGATATAATAAATATCCTAACTCCAAAGTAACCAGAGTGTGATCTGAAGAGCATTTGCTCTTTAATTCCTGAGTTTAAAAAAAGCCCCTATTATTCTCAGTCCTGCTATAGGTTTAACACAATGTGAATGGAAGTCGTCTTTCCTGCTGTCTGCCTGTCTGTCTTTGTGCCTGCGAGCGTTTTTAACTCACACACATTGTACCCTTTACCTGCTCAATAGTTAAAGACTGGCTCATCTCATTATATAGTGTGTGTGTGTGTGTGTGTGTGTTTCTGTGTGTTTAAAAGTCAGTGAAAGCCAACACCTTCTCCAGGGAAGACACTTAGTTTCATTCACACATGCATTGTCTGTGCAGAGCAGCACACACCCATGTGATCGTATGACTCACAGAAACAGAGGCTGTATATACTGCTCGCTTCATATTCTGTATTGTGAGGTATTGAGTTTTTTTTTACGCCCGTGTTTGTTTGTGCGTGTCATGTAGCCTACATATTGAGTATTTGTCACGTTGTTGCTTGTTTGAAAGAACATGCAGGGAGGATGTGTGTTTGAATGACAGATTTTCACATGATACACTGTGTTTAAAGTCAGATTACCTGCAGATTAGGATACATTACAGATTTGGTTACCAGTCAATAACTCTTTAACAAGGCTCAGTCAACTAGGGAGCCTCCATTCATTTACATTTACACGATGTCAGTGCCCTTTCTTTAGATACACTGTACCTGTACTGTACACTACTGCACTGTGTAGGGATGAGGATTTAAATCAACACCGCTTATTATCAGGTTTTCAAATTTAGTATTCAGTGTTAACATTCACTACTGTTGTATGAGTTGGTTCATTGAGATACCTCAAACAAACGTGTTTCATGTATTCACAAAGGAGAAACTATAGAAACATGGCAGACTCCATGGAAGCCGACCTGCAGCGTCTGTAGATATAAAAGGCTCATTCTAAGGTAACAAAAACATAACAATTCCTATATTCAAATGATTTAATGAAAACATTGCTATGTCTGCCAGCAGTTCCTCCTAAAAGTGTCACAGACACACCTGATAGTGTGTTACGCACCTTTAACTGGAGGAACTTTACAGTCTATATAGTCGTCGTTACATTGTCATCTCCTTCATGTACGTCCCAGATTCATGAGGATTTAATATCTTTGGGTTGGTAACAAAAGCATAAGGAAGAGTTCTGTGACGCATATTTTCAGTGCCACTGCTTTAGATGCATTTTGCAAAATGAAATGGTCTTTTTTTTCATTTA